TATTCAAGCAGGCATTCCCACACAGACATACAGACACACGCATGCACACTTATATACACATAGACTTAAATATACACACACAAACACGCCCAAAACATACACACAAACACACCCAAACATACACACACACGCACACACACGCGTACATACGCACACAAAAGCACCGCCGGCGGTTATTGAGGAGATAAGAATGAGCAAATAATTCTGTTATTTGTTGTTCAAAACGTCATCGCCAACGGAAAGTCGCTGTCATCCATGTCTACATTTCAGCGTTCATCATCCTCGCGTTAGCATTTTTTTTATTTCCATCATCATTTTTTAACATCGACGTTGTTATCATCATCTTTATCATAATCTTTTTCATTGTCCTTACTACCATCACATTATCATCACTAACATGTCATCACGTCCCATCATCACAACCATCAATCGTAACCTTATCCTTTAATGAACACCATTATCATCATCATTGTGACACCATCGTGACGTCATCAGCCCACCACACAGTTCATTAACATGATGGAATGCAGCTATACCTGAAACATTCATTTGTGCCTACACGCTCCGACAAATCCATTATATTCCCAAGCTTATGGGCATAATTAGCTCGTCTATCCTCTTAACTATTTATTATTATTAGTATTTTTTAATTGTTATTTAATACCGCTATTTTTCTAATTATAGAAAATGATAGTCGCCTATATTTTTATTATAAAAAAATTCAATTTGCTATTTGTTCATCATGTGTAGTGGGTGTAGCGTACATATCAAATCAAAATCAAAAATACTTTAATACGTCGGCGAAAGCACTATATATGAACATGCATATATCTCTCTTTCTCTCTCTCTCTCTATATATATATAATTAAAAAAAATCACTGCATTTTCAGCTTTGATTAGCTCCTGGATCAGATTTTCAAAATGTGTACCTTGCTTTTGTTATTGTTTTCAACTTATTTATATAGAAAACAAAGTTTTTAACTTTTATTCATTTTTATTCTATAAAGAAGCTTTTTTCGGAAATCCTTCACGGATAGTTTATTTCAATTCTCAAAACCAGTCCAATTCTGGAGTAAAGTTCTTTCAATTATTTTCAATTTTATTCGTTATCGCATCCTAGCCAATATTTCGCAGTTATTAATTCTGTCCTATTGAACTCTCGGCAATAATAATGCTATATATTACGTCTTTAAAATCACCACAATAAATTATTATTAATATACATACAACTTAATCGATAAGTCTTTTTTGATCGATTAAGCATTCGTAATATGTGCGTATTGTACAACCTAAACTCAAGATCTTTATAATTTAGTGATTACAACAAACAACTTGTGTTGACTGCTATGAGTATAATTAGGTCGCTGATACATTAATACATTATGAAACTGAAGCCTTACGGAGTAACGTCAGTTCACGCTAACTTTACAGATTGTACACAAAACTATTAAATATGTATGGTTAACTTAGAAAGAAATAATAAACCAAAAATTTTTTTAGATTGATAATTTGAGACCAGAAAAAATCAAATCATGCATTGCTAATCCCAATTTCAAAATGTTTGTAAAATTACGTCAAAATTTGGTAACAATGGTAAACTATTACATAAATAAATAAATGCAATTATATATATATATATAACATGATATATAATATAAATGATGTAATATATATATATGTTTGTTATATATATTATATATATATATCACAACACACATGTTAATAAGATTGAATCACATAATTAAGATGAATGAAATATCAATGAAAAGCAGCCAGCATATTAAATTCAATTTGAAATGAATAGAAGATAGAACAAAGAGGTTTAACTTTGGAACCATTTCGAATTCAATTTGAAATAAACGGAAGATAGGGAAAAGGGTTTATTTTGGAACCATCTAGAGTTGGTATATTGAAAAAGGTGCGTGTGTGGTGCAATCTATCTACCATGGTTTAAAGTTAATATTTATTTTTCACTCCTGAAATTCGACGTAGAAATAGCAGTAGAAAAAGTCTTTGTGGTATCGGCAATTTTTTTGTTTTTGTTATTATTATTGTTGTTGTTGTTATTATTATTAATGTTGTTACTTCTGTTTTTACTGCTTCTGTTCTGGTTCTTGTAATTATTATTGGTGCTGTTAAAGCCACTGCTTTTACTGCTGACGCTGGTACTAGAGTTGCTGCAGCTACTACTGACGTTGCTGTTGTTGCTATTGAAGCTGCTGTTACTGCCACAACAGTTGCTAACATTTTTACTGAGATACTTTTCAAAATTTTCTTTTAGTTTCAATCTGAGAAGTTGCCTCTCCAAATCAACTGACTTCTGATTGGCTCGAAACTTTTCAATTTCCTCCAATGGAATGTGGCACTGGTATCCTTCTAATTCTTCATCATCGTTACCATCGATATCATTAAAGGGGTCATCATCATCATCATCGTCGTTGTTGTTGTTGTCATCACCATCGCGCGTTTGTCGGTTAAAACTGTAGACTGTCCGATAGGTAGCATCATCGTTACTAAGGTTTTTATCATTATTAGTATCATCTTCATCAGTGAGTAAATGATGATGAGGATGAAGATGAGGATGATGTTGCTGGCGATTGCTGCAGGAAGTGTTTTCTAATTCCGGTTTCTAAAGAAAAAAAATTATAAAATAATGATAAAGTTACTCTTTTGGCATTGTTAACAAATGGCAAACAATTACGAAGATAAATTAACACCAAATTAACGAAGAACAAAAATTAACGAAAAAATTGATAAACGAACCAAGTCATTGCAAAGTGTTGTTTCACTGCATTTACCAATACGACAGAAACCGTCGCTGATGACGTCATTGTTGCAATTGATGTTGTCAGTGTTATTGTAGTTGTTGCTCGTAAAAGGACAGCCTGGATAAGAAATGCTGTCAGAGGAGTAAAACTTGTTGCCACTTGTGTGATCACATGCATCACATTTGGTGAAAACGCTGTCGTTCAAGTTAAAAATGCCGACACCACAAAAGCTGTTGGCGTTGTTATTAATGTCGTCGTTGTTGTTGTTACTGATGTTGTTGCTACAGTCCTGGTTACATATTTCATCGTCCAACTGACCATCCGAACTACTCTGCAAACTCAAGCCATCCCAACTGTCGACATCACAACACTGATGATGAGTGTGATTGTTGTTGGTGCTGTTGTTCATGTTGTTGTTGTTGTTGCTGCTGCTGCTGTTAACGTTACGATGGTTGTGGCTATTGTTGTTGTTGTTGTTGATGCTATTGTGATTTAATTCAGAGCAACTGCAGTCGTATTTTGAGAAAGAAGAGAATGAAGAGGAGGAAGAGGAGGAACTTCTTTCCTCAGATCGACAAGATGCTAGCGGAGAGGGTAGTATGCAGAATGAATGGTCAGTGTTTCCTATGCAGTTTGTTGCTTCTGCTGTTGCAGAAGTTGTTATTGTCAAAGGTGTTGTCGTTGTTGTTGTCATCGATTGCGTAGTTGTTGATTTTACTGGAGAATGTAATACTTTAGCAGTTGTTGTCTTTGGCTCCGTTACTGGCGATGAATGGTTGTAATTCTTTATTTCTGTTTCGAATTTATATTTTTGAATAAACTACAATGAATAAAACTTCATTAAAATAATCTATTTATAGCAAATAATTAATTCATAACAAACTCACATGATTAATGATTAATAGGTTAAAAAAAGTAAATAAACTATATCTATATATATTGTTATAAATTCGCTGGGGTTGTTTATAACCGACAGCTGTAGAGTTCGTATATCCAATAAGAATCGACTCGAACGATAAATTGTCCAATACTAATTTATTGAAGAAGCCGAAATATCAACAAGGAATTACAAAATGAGTTATTTTATAATCGCACACTTGTAAACTAACCAACTCATCCACTACAACTCGTACTTACCACACTTTGCAACTTTCGGTAAGCATGTGTTTTCGCTTCATATGTCGTCCTATTTATACAGCTTTCTTTTACAATGCATAGACATTTTACAATACGGGGTACCATAGATAATTATTGTCATAATTATGAAGCGCTGTATTTCTAACAATAAATAAAGTAAAGATAAGAAAACAAAAAACAAAGACTCACTTAGACAGGATGTCGATAAGAACGCTGATTCTTTCTTAGGGGTGTGGTTGCAACATTCATTCAATTCCTGTTGTTGATAGCATAATAAACACTCGTTAACATTTTTATCAACGTCATCATCATCGTCTTCATCACCATTACAACCGTAATCAGCAGTCATCAGCGTTATCATTGTTACTAGTAATGTTACTGAAGCTTACCTCCGATGGACTAGCAGTAATAGCAACAGTAGTAACAGCGTCACATTTACAATCGCAATCCTCTTTCAATATGCAATTTTTCTTCTTGTTCTTCTTCATCTTCTTTTTACTACTACTACTGTTTGGACAGCTATTTTTGCCAGAATTGTTGTTGCCATTGAAAGAGTTGTTGTGGTTGTCACTGCGGTTGTTAGTGCTGTTGTTGATGTCACCAGATAACTCGGAGCATAGGATGTCCAGATGCTGAGTACCCAGCTTATCTTCAAATGATCTCTGTTAAAAAAATATGGCCATCAGTGCAATTAGCAACGCCAACAAAAATGCTTTTACAAAAACATCAACATCATGGCTATCATCATAATTGCTATCAAGACAAAATAAAAACGCATTAATATTATTAGCCAATTATAGGCCTTATTTAGGCGGCGCGATTGTGTAATGGCTAAAGTGCCTGGCATTGTTGATGCAGTGTCCGGGTTCGAATGCAAAAAGATCCCCGCCTATCACACGCAAAAGTGTGTGATGCTTTGATTCACGTGCATTTATGCACCGTGTGTTTGTTGTAATAATGATAATGCGCCTCAGTCGCTGCAATGGCGCTATATAAAATGAAATTATTATTATTATTATTTGACAGTCAGCCAATCACAAAGAACATCAGCAGCCAGCCATTCACAAGCTTTGTCAATCAGCCAATCAAAAAATCTTAACCAATCAAGCAAGCAACCTCAAACTTCTTCTTGAGTGCCTCTACTCCAGAGAAGAAGAGAAGATGCCATGTCTGTTCCTCGATTTTTAGACCCTGCCACACTTTGAACATCCTGTCCAGCAGGTGCACCCCGAGTCCATTCAGTACCTCCTCTTGTGCTATGTCCCACGTCTTTGCATGGCGTTCCCTGCTGCCTGGAATGAAACTGCCGGAGGGTTGGAAAGAAGACCATCATTGCATACTATATGTGTTGGAGATTTTGCTAATAAAAATGCTCACAACTTCGATTTACAAACAAAATGAATGAATTAATCCACTTATTCAAATGCATTTATCCCTTAAATCCACATCTTCATTAACCAATTAATCCAAACCACCACCACTATCGACCAATAATCAGACCACCAAAAGAGCAAACCAACCAACCAATTTTTTGACTCAGCTTCTCCCCTCTGGATGAGCGACTGAACGAAATCCACCTTGCAATCGATGTGAACGTGTTCTTCTGGGCACGAAGTCAGACCCTCGTACAGTGCAGGATTGAACCCATTCAAGTTTTCGGCATCATGTGAGTCGTGTTTTATCAGAAGTTTTAGTGCTCTCTGCACCTTATTCTTGCAGTCTGGGCAGAACCTGCAAATGAATGCAGTAAATTACACAAAAAATTAACAAATTTTGGTACTCAGGGAAAAGTTGAACTCAACAAATTTGAATCTCTAATTTGTTGTAATGAAACATGAATGAAATTTCTGATGAGTATATTTTGACAAAAATTTAATGAATTGAGATAGTTTTATAACTAGGTTGAGATCTGTGAATGCAATTAAAAAATCAACAGAACAATCTCTTAAAATTATGACAGAAATTTGAGTGTATGCAAAGCAGATAATATTAAACTATCAACTGCCAAACCATCATCCTACCAAAATGAAATAACATTGAACTTGGATATTAAATGTTCTGTATTACATATAGAATTTTTGAAAAAATTTATGTAGCACAATGGTATAACGGTTAAGACGCCTGACACTACTGTTGCAATGACTGGGTTTGAATGCAATGTAATGCATGTGAGATGCATGTGAGATGTGTGAGATCAAACATATCCACATAAATAAACTGTGTTTGTTGTTCAAACCTCTAAAAACACACACAAAAAATTGTAAGAAGTCAGATAAAATAAAAAAAAAGCTAGTACCTAACTGAACACCCAACCAACTAACCAACCTACCTATGCTTCCTCAGGTGCTCATCCAGAGTAGTCGAGAGACCAGAAAAATCGAGTACAGTAACTTCCTCTTGACACGATTGGTCCATTAAGCACCACACTTCATACCAAAGACTGTGAGAATAGTATTTTCAAAATTATTATTGGTAGTATTAATATTATTATTATTATTTAATATTACCGTCATTTTATTATAACAATTATTATCAATATTACCATACTTACCATTATTGCAAATAACGTTGTTGTATGTTTTGTTACTGGTACATCAATGATATAACTTGCATAGTATCATACGGTTTCAATAAATTTGTAACATTCATTAAGAAATGATTGTTTAGAAATTTACATAATTATTATATTATAATATAATTATTATAACTATTCTAACTAATTTATTGCATAAGCTAAAGATAAAAAGGACAACAGACTAGACGTCGTTTTTTTCATGTTTTTTAAATGTAAAAACTGTTACAAGTTTATTAACCAGGGTATACTTTTTGTTAGCAATAAAAGAAAAAAATAAAAAGAATAAAAATAATTTAGTAAATAATAATAGGAATTCAATATATAAATATATAATATATAAACAATATTATATAACGTTAATAATAATAACAACAAAAATGAAAATAATAATAAAAAATGAAACTTACTTTATAGACTTATTTTTATGCGATTCAAGACAGTGTAATGCGCATCTTTTGTTCTTTCGACCGATGCTTATCGAGTTTATAAGCAGCTTTATGTAAGGACTGTTTTGTAAATATAATTAATTTAAATATTATTAAACATTGCTAATACAACTATTACCATTTTGGGCAAAACTAAATCGACCTAATGAAAACCTAACATACAAATAAGCATTAAATGAATTGTTGGTCAACATGTTAGCTAATATACCAGTCAGTTAATTAAATAACTGACAACAAAAGTCGCAACAAAATCCAATTTGAATTAATAAAAGCAATATTGTTTTTGAATCGGGAAATAAGGTTATTAAAAATTCTCAACACTAAAAAATGTAATTTGTGTTAAACATTCACAATATGCTTACCCCTGGGCACAGAACAGTGTAAACAATTCTTTAGAATATAACATAGTCTGCAACTGAACTGTCAGGAAATTATCGATGAATTCCAGCGGCTCAAGTGCTTTATGTTGATTAGATGTTAACTGCAGGAACATTGCCTCAACGCTGTTTAAAATAATATGTCTGATTAATTCACCATACAGGACATATTAGAAAAATAATGAGTAGTTAGAATGTACAATACAGTTTGGATTTAAATTAGGAATGGTGTATATTACTCTACTAGCTACTACGTTAAAACTGACCACACCAAGCAATAATGATTGTTAACATGCATAACAACTGACCATCTTCTACAACCAACACAAGGCATGTGCTGTGCCAGTTCGGCCATTATTTCTTTACAAGAGACTTTCAATAACTTCGTTAACTCCTCCCGATTAAAAAGTTTAAACTTTTGAACGAATCTGTTGTAATCATCTCGGCCGTTAGACAAATTGTATCCTTTGCAGATGTCAGCAAACTGGATAACCAACTATAAAATAAAAAACAAACCAAATCAATTTAAAACTCTACCACCAATCTATTATCGCCCACCGACTTAGGACAAAATTAGGGAAAATAAAAAACAAACAGATATCATAAAATTTAGAATTGAATATTGGAAATGAAATATAAACAAAATTTGTGCCACCGTGGAACAGCCATCAATGTGCAAGGGCAGTTGCCTGCTCTGGTACTTGTGGTCATCTTCATGCGAAACGGCCACTAATCGAGCCATCTTTAAAGTTATTTCAACTCCAAATAAACTATTCAAGTTATTATTTTAATATAGGCAGATCTTCTAGTTAGAAAATTATTAAGAAGTATGATCTTTGCTACGTGAGACGGTAATAACTTCAATCTAAGTCATAGACACAACAAGTTAGGTTTTTTTTCATTCCATGTTCTTTGGTTCGGTGTATGACGTATAAATTTAACTAAATTTTGGTTAACAAACTAAAATAAAATGAGAAATATGAAATATTAAATATTAAATTTACTTCAAACAGTATATCTTAATTATTATATACATACGCCTAAAACCACCATTAAACAATCATTTCATTAGGATAACGTGGATTGGATGGATGCATCATCATCTGGTAACATTCAGTCCATCGCATATAGAGATAAATGCTTCATGATAAAGTTTACTACATTATTGTTAGCATTCATTTTTTATAAATCTTCAGAAAACCAGAAAAAAGAATTACACATAGGAATTGAACAATAATACTTGACCTTAAGTTAACATGGAAGGGTATGCTTCGTAATTTATATTTAGTTTTTTTTAGTCTTTATTATTGCTGCTCTGACATACGCAGAACCACTTACAATGTTACAGATATATTATCTGTATATCTTTTATTATGTTTTTCATATCTTTAACCATTGATTTTAAGCAGCCATCTTCGCCACAAAGGCTGTTTATCCTTTTCACACGACGTACACATGTATTTATGTGCACGCGCGAGCACCGCATCATATACGCTGAGTATATGATTGCTATTGAGATGTTTTAACTCAGCGAGCATTAGAACCACTGAGCCACCTCGCCGGCCAACATGCGACAATTTACGTCGCCTACCTATTTACCAGCCTCGAAAGGATGGACGGCTGAGTTGGCTGGTTGTTTATAGTCATCTTATTTACGCTAAAGCTTTTTGTTATCTGGTTCCAGATCTGCTCGTCACAGTTATTAAATTTTTTTGCTAAAGATACACAGCTTATCTTACCCGCCTTGTTGCTTTTAGTTTCTCTTCTGCTTTTAACATTGCTATTATATTTAAAAATGTATATATTATATTTTAAAAATGCTATTATATTAATGCAATGGTTACTATATATAAGTTGTTAACAAAAAGCCGGTTCAAAACCAGTAAAAACCAGTTAAAAACGGTTAAAACCAGTTCGAGTTAGTTATATATTCATGACACTGATTCTTTGTATGTTTACATATATAAATATCAAACACGGAGGTGTGTATTGAATGTTCCATTCGTTAAAACGAACACATGCACGCGTTATTTCTCTGTTGTTGGACCAAAGTTGTAAAATGAACTTCCTTGCCGTCCTGGTCTGTCTCTACCTAGCTTCGTTTCTCTACCTAGCTTCATTTCAAAGCCAATTTGTTTTGTCTTGTATTGTTTGGAAATTCTGTTTTAGGTTCACTGTTGAGAGCATTTGTGCTTGTTTTTGTTTGTCGGGGGCTGTCTCAGCAGTCTTCATAATAATAACATTGATAATAATAAAAACACTAATAATACTAATAATAATATCAAACATTTTTGTGATGCACAGAGCACTCACAAACATGTATCTTCACGTTAAATGTGGTGTTTATAGTAAAGAATTTTGTACTTTTACAAACAAAATGAGTAAATAAGTTAACTTTTTCATTTTGTGGAGGTGAAAAGAGAGATAAGAGAGAGAGAGAAAATAGAAAAGAGAAATAAGAGAGAGAGAGAGAGAGAGAGAGAGAGAGAGAGAGAGAAAGTGAAAGATAGAGAAACTAACGAAATGAACGCCTGTTGCTTATGCATGCATAAACTTGCCAGCTCCTGATTTATTTGTAACAAATCAGTTAAGTCAGTTGGAACTGTTTGACCTGCGTCGTCATCGTCTTCTTCATCATTTTAATCACCTTCTAAACGTCGTCATCGTCATAATCATCAATAGATCATCAGATTATATCATCCTTATGATTTTAATCATATTACCATCTTCAACCTCATCATCAGCATCATCATTATCTTCATAATTTCAATCATCAGAATGTCATTCTTAACGTGTCATCATTTCATTATCATATTAGGGATGTGAGTGAAAAGTTACAGTCGCGGCAAAAATTGTGGACACGGGTCCAAATGGTCAATAAACAAAAACTTCAAATATACACCTCAATAATTTTTGGATGTCAAATAAATCCATGAAGTTTTTTGATTATATTTATACTTAAATATGAATTTTAATATGGAGTTTAATTCTAGTAAATGCGTATGTGCGTGTGCGTGTGTATGTATGTGAATGTGTGGTATGTGTGTGGCATGTGTGCGCGCGCGCGTGTGTGTTAAATTAAGAAAGAGAAAACAAAAAATTCGATCAGAATGCATTGTGCATCTGAATGGAAATTGTTAATTAACAAAGTTAACTTGCTAATATAGACTATTAATCAAATTAACTAATTATCTAATTTTAATTTCAAATATAGAAATAACACGCACATACACGTACATACAGACACAACACACACATATATATTATATTTATAATATATATGTTATATATATATATATATATATATATAGGGTTCAGACTATCAGATATACAGTTGTTTAGGAAAGTCAGGGAATTTCCAGTTTTGCTTAATTTTCTATTTAATTTTTCAATCTTTCTTACGGTGAGTTTCAGTTGATTATCAAGTTTATTTAACACTCATACACAAAAATAGTGTGCTGAGCACATCTGTATAAAATATGGTTTCTTTCCAACATACATATGTATGTATATATATATTAAGTTTGTTTGCTGCAACTGAAGTTCAAAACATATCGGTTATATCATTCCTTGATATGTCATCAGCATTTGATTGTGTGGATCATGAAATACTTTTAAAGAGATTGCAGTTGCAGTTATGGTGTTCTTGGAGTTGCCAATAACTGGTTCAGTTCATATCTTAAGAATCGTACACAACGGGTTGCATTTAAAAACACAGTGTCAGATGTATCACTGGTCTCATCGGGGGTGCCTCAAGGATCTGTGCTGGGACCAATCCTGTTTTTGTTTTATGCATCGGATATAATAAAAATAATTTGTCCCCACGGATTCGTTTGTCATGCTTTTGCGGATGACATCCAGGTGCTGATCACCAGTTCTCCAGACTCATTTGCAGACGAGGTGAACATCTGTTCAGCAGATGTATGTCAGATGTTGGCCGTTGGATGTCAGATAATTCATTAAAGTTAAACCAACGTAAGACTCAGTTCCTCCCGGTTGAGACATGGCAACAGTTATCAAGGATGAATATCACTTCAATCAAAGTAGGGAATGTAAAGATATCTTTCAGTAAAACAGCTTCTAATTTGGGAGTGTTGCTGGATGACTGTCCATGAAAGACCACATCAAGATGATTTCAGTTTCCAGCATTGCTCAGCTAAGAAATTTATACCGACATTTGCTAGATAGATCAGCATTGGAAAATCTGGTCCATGCGTTTGTATCATCACGGCTGGACTACTGCAACAGTCTGTTTTTTAACTTGCCTTATAGATCAATTGCCATTCTTCAGTCGGTTCAAAATAGGGCTACAAAACTTGTAACTGGAAAATTGATATTTGATCATGTAACGCCAATATTGAATGAACATCACTGGCTAAAGATTGAGAAAAGAATAATTTTTAAAATTGCAGTGACTGTGTTCAAATCCATGAATGGAATGTCACCGGCTTACATCTCAGATAAATTTTCCATGAAGGCATCTGCCTCATGTTTTCATCTGGGATCAGATAATATGAATCTTTTGGCGGTTCCAGCTAGGCATTTACGAATAAGTGCAAGATATATCGCGGTTGCGGGTCCGACGGTGTGGAATGACCTACCGATTTCATTAAGAAGACCTGGAATTAATTTTGTGACATTTAAAAAAGAATTAAAAACATATTTATTTTCTGTTGATAAACATTAAATTTGAATAATTTAATTTATGTTAATCACGCACAGATATTTTGTTTGTTTCACTTTTGATTGCGCCTTTGAATTATTTAATTTGCGCTATATAAATATTTCTAAATAAATATATATATATATATCACGTTGTTTATACATACACTCATTATATTATACGTATATTTTCTCCATACTATTAAACTTATTCACAGTAATATTAATAGTAGAACAGTATTTTAATATTATTTGTGTACTTATATACTTATATAGTATCTATACAAATGATCGAGAAATATGAAAAGCTGCTTATACTGGGGATCGCAAGTCAATTCAGTGATTTATGATACGGTAATGTGTAAAGCTTGCAATAATAATATGAAGAATAACAATAAAAAATAATAAGAAGAATAATGAGGATAATAATAAAATGTGCTCGGGTAGCAAATAGCTTGTCTACAAATTACGACAAGTAAATAATGATCACACTCGTTTATTTTCGTATTGAATGCTTGGGCCGGCGTTTAAAAGACCGATTGCTCGGTTAAAACCGACCTCAAATATTTATCCTGAAATATTCAAATTTGGAAATTAAAGCAAAAGAATTAATTTAAACACGAAAAAATAAAATTCAAAATTAATTTTAATAAAAAAATATAGTTAAATTGTATGATCGGTTTTTTCTGATTGGTTATAAATTCGATAGAAAATTTGGTTAGTAAGGTTATTTGGATGGTTCGATTCATTAATTCGATCATCAAACCGTTCGGTCGTTCATCCATTTATTTTTTTATTTTTTTTTTATTCTTCGACTAGGAGATAATTTTTTATTAATTTATCGTTTGTTCGTTCATTCATTCATTTATTTGTTCGTTCATTTACTTTTTGGTTCATTTATCAATCCAATGGTTCATCCATCCATCCATTTATTCATTTCTTCTTTCATTCCTTCACTTATCCCTTCAACCATCCATCCATCCATTCATTCACGCATTGAACTATATTGCACTCGATAAATAAATAAATGCTCCTGATGGTAAACTCACCTTCGAACATAAAAGGACAGCATCTTTAATTGAAATATTATGCTTTGTGGGGTTGTTAAATTAAATTAACATTTATTACCTAATTAACATTATTTTGATAATTAATAAGTTAATTATTTAATTGCACGCTGGTAATAATAAGCTGTACAAAAAACGAAATAATTCAAGGGGAGACATCTGTTAAGAATACTCTGACGATAAGGATGAACCTCTTACTACTATCATCATCAATCGCCGCTTGTTTCGTCCTCATCCATGGAGCTGGTGGGTTTTGATTTATAAAATATTTATTAATTACATATAATGCGATGGCGTAATGGTTAAAGTGCTTGTCTTTGCTATTACCGTGACGGGGTTTGTATGCGAGGATATCTCCAAGTATCACACGCAATGCGTGGGATGTATTGATCCATGTTTATATTTGTGTATGAATGTAGTACGTACAATGTACGTGTCTGTTGTTGATATCTATGTGATACGTTAGATACATAAAAAGAGATGATGCAAATACAAACAGATACATGATATACAACGAAACAATACAAATATACAAAGTACACACACACACACACACACACACACACACACACACACATGCCTCACACAGACGCACTAAACTCGCGTTTACCTAGGCAAATATTAACGATTTATCTGACATGATTTATAACATGCTATTGGATGCGTGGTTTTTTGCGAAATTCCTTTTTCACTACTACTACTACTACCACTACCACTACTTACTACTACTACTACTACTACTACTACTACTGCTGCTGCTGCTGCTGCTGCTGCTGCTACCACTACTAATAATAATAATAGTATAGTAATAGTAATATTAGAAACAGCAGCAGTAGTAGTATAAATAGTAGAAGCAGTAGCAGTAAGTAGTAGTAGTAGTAGTTGTTGTTGTTGTTGTTGTTGTTGTTGTTGTGATCTGATTTATTTTTCGACAATATTGCAGTCGTAATAACATTTTATAATGAAATAATTGTCAAGTTGTTAAGTGAATAACTGTGAAATAATAATAAAATAATTGAAAAATTATATAATAATTAATAATACAATAATAAAAAAATGATGTTAAATTAAAAATAGATAAATAATTTTTTTTCAGCCCATTGGGACTACGACAACAACTCAACCTACGGTATGCACCGTGTTTACTATTTTAATTTCTATATTAAATATTTGTGTTCACACGCTGACGCTAATAAATTCTCATTTAAATATATTCTTTTAAATTATTATAATCATTATAATTAATAATAACGATAATAATAATATCAACTAATAATAGATCTAGTAGTAGTGGTAGTTGTTGTTTGGTGTTGTTGTTGTTTGTTGTTGTTGTTGTCGTTGTTGATATTATTGTTTGAAAATATATAAATGTGACGTTTGTCTTATTGATAAGCAAAGTATGTGTTTATATGTAATTGTTTTGTGGGTTATTAATTATTTATAAGGTGTGTGTTTATGTGTCATTTATTGTGTGTGTTTTTTCTGTATATTTTTGTATATGCTTGTACGTGTGTAGTTATGCGTTTTATACAATACATATATTGCGTACGTGATTTTATATATGTATGTGTTAATGTATGTATGGGTATTTTGTGTATATATGTATATGAGGTGTATATGCAAGTGTTTATATATGCATGTGTGTGTATATGTATGTGTGTATATATGTATGTGTGTATATATATATATATGTGTATATATGTTTGTGTGTGTATCTGCATGTGTGTATATATGTATGTGTGTATATATGTATGTGTATATATGTATGTGTGAAAACACTGGTGTATAATTCTGCGTGGGTATATGTGAACAAATACATACAAAACTTACAATACAAACATTGTATATTTGTTTTATCTCAGTCAACAAAATATTTTTATAACAAATTTTCAACTAATTCGAATATATTTTTTACGTTATATTTGAATAATAATTAAATTTAACCTAGAATAAATGTAATTTAGAATTAAACAAAAAAATGATAATATGAATTGAAATAATACAATAGATGATGATGATGACCGTGATGATGACGACGACGATGAAGATTAAATATCTATTTAATTATTTGCAGAAGTTAAAATGATAATCTTTTAACTTTCGCTTATTATAGCATACCTATGTCATTTTCGTCTATTTATTCTTTGGTTTTTATTTATTCATTTTTTTTATTTTTAATTAAGGTTGAAGTTTGTTTAGCGCAAATAAAAATTGATTATGTAGGCATTTAATTAACTTTAATTAAAATTTTCAATAAATAAATGAATGAATGAATGAATGAATGAATGAATGAATGAATGAATGAATGAATGAATGAATGAATAAATGAATGAATGAATGAACGAATGAACAAACGAACGAACGAACGAACGAATGAATGAATGAATGAATGAATGAATGAATGAATGAACGAATGAATGACCGAACGAATGAATGAATGACTGAATGAATGAATGAACAATAATAACAAATTAATAATAACAAATATAATAATACTATTTCGACTAACAACAGCATTACTAATATAACTATTAATATTATTATAATATTATTACGGTTATAACAATAACACACTCACTCACACACACATATACACACGCACACACACACACACACTAATACATCCACATACATATATAACATATCATAAACGTATAGACAAATTTTTAAATTGACTTGAATGGAATCTAAAGAAATTGAATAGATATAAACATTATTTAATCTCACCTCTTAATGGCTGCGCCTTTCTCTAAGGACCATCCCATTGGCCAGAGATCAGCATGGTCTGTAACGGCACCCGCCAATCACCAATCAACATCTCAAAGAGTACTACGAATAACAGTCTCGATGATTTTGTTTTCCACAATTACAATGCAACTCCATTAGTGACCACGGTCACTTATAACGGACACACAGGTCAGTGTGGTATTTTTCTGGTATATTTTGGTAGATGATAAATACGTACTTGTACTATATAAAGTAGGCATGAACAAATGTGATTGTAATAATAAACATATAATACAAGTTCAATTCGTTCATTCTTGTGATATTAATACTTTCAATCATCATGGCATTCGCATACAGTCCAAGTGACAGTACCCAGTGATACCTTAATGATACATGGAGGGGGCTTGAATGATATCTACAACCTGGCTCAGTTTCACTTCCACTGGGGCTCCAATGATAGCTACGGATCCGAGCACCTGGATCACGGGAAGGCATATCCGGGTGAGGTGAGGTTAAAAAAAATTTGTTGCTGCTGTTTATAGGATTTGTGTGTGTGTGTGTGTATTTGTTTGTTTCTATGTGGATTTGTGTGTATGTGTTTGTGTGTGCGTGGATGTGTTTGTTTATGTGTGGATGTGTGTGTGTGTGTGTGCGTGTGTGTGTGTGTGCGCGCGCTCTTCATATTTATTGTCACACCAACCATTAAAAAGCATCAAACAAAAACAACGACATTAACAACAGTAACAACATAACAAAAACATTAACAACAAAAACATTAACAACAACAAGAACAACTACATAACAAACTCTGCAGATTCACTTCGTCCACTGGCACTCGGGCAAATATTCAAACTTGAATGAAAGTTTCAAACACGACGACGGCGTGGCCGTGCTTGGCGTCTTCATCGACGTCTGACTATTTTGCTGCTCCGTTTATTTATTAGTTCATCCGTTCATTCATTCATTCGTTCGTTTGTTCGCTTGCTCGTTCATTCATTATATTATCCATTCATTCAATCACTCTCACACAGGCACTCACTCATACACACACAGTCGTTTACACACACACACACACACACACACACACACACACACACACACACACTGACAGGTCGTGCAAGACGCAAATGATCCTCGCATCAGTAAGGACCTCGCAAAGTTAACAGACTACTTCGTGAACATAAAATTTCCCGGCAACCAAACCAACTGCGCTCCCTTCACACTGGCCAGCCTCCTGCCGAAAAATCTGACCTACTACAGGTACCTCGGCAGTTTGACCACGCCAGACTGCAGCGAGATCGTTACCTGGACTGTTTATCAGAGTCCCATCTACATTACTTCAGATCAGGTACCTACGTAGCTACATAGGTTTTTTATCACGATTTTGTTGCTGGTTTTATAAAACTCCATGTAAAACCAGTTTTTACTTAAATGTATTGAAATTTAGCGTGTAAACGATGAATCAATATTTAAAAAGTTTACATTTTGAAAACATTCACAAGCTCGTTTTCAACGAGTTTTTACGGTGTAAGAGGCAGCTGACAGATGATGGCACCTTTCAAACTTTCTAATTCCCATTCTTCGATTGAGCAACTCGCTTTCAAAATAATAAACAAATGATTTGAATACACCCGTCATGCAAATATTATGATCCTATGCACTATACACACATACCTATACACACACACGCATATAAACAAACAAAGCATATAAAATAAACACACATACATCATCAAATATTATGATCCTATGCACTATACACACAAACCTATACACACACGCATATAAACAAACAAAGCATATAAAATAAACACACATACATACGCATAAACCAACCGACACACATGCACACAAACACAACACAAACATGACAAACCATGACATATACATACACATACAAGTAAACATACACGTACACATACACATACACGTACACAAACACATGCATCTACAAATTATTGCCAGATGGCAAAATTCCGCCACTTCCACAGAATGGAACATCTGGATGAAGATCTGGACCACACCAACCGGCCTGTACAACCTTTGTACAACAGGGAGGTGTACAACTCACCAACATCCTTCTCCTCCTCCTCTTCTTCCTCCTCTTTCTTCTCATCCCCATCTCCATTATCTGCTTTTGTGTTTTTCCGAGGTTGTTTTTTTACATATTTTTTTTTACATATTTTTATTGGTTTTTCTTTGTTTTTTTGCTGTTATTTATTCAAAAAAGTTCGTTCCTATATATTTTTAATTTTTAATTCAGTGTTGATTTTCAACTTTGTGTTTATTACCAATTTTTTTTTAAATTTTTTTTCTTCTTCTTCTTTAAAATATAACTGTTAGCAGAGCCCTTTAAAAAAGATATAAATAATCAAATAAGAAAGAATATCTGCTCTACACATTAATCAAATTGATTAATTAATAAGATGTGTAAAATTAATTGAGATTCCTCTCACTAAATCATCACCATCTGTACAATTTTCATAATTATACCCTCACCAACATCATCCTCATCTCTCTCCAAATTCAAAATATTACTCTCACCGCCATCGTTATTTCTACAATCATCACGATGATACGATACATACCCTCGCCAGCACACCGCCACGATCTCATCATTCCTCCAAACAGGTATCCAGGGACAATGCGTGAAGATGATGATGGCACTGGTGTTCACTTCCATTTCTTTCCATTCGTTCTTTCAGTGTGAAATTAATTGCTGAATCAGATTTGATTTACGTTTTATAAACGCTGTCGTTCTACTTGGAAATAAATTTTTTTAAAAGTTACACACCCAAACACACACATGCACGCACGCACACGCACGCACACACGCACACACATAGCCATATGTTATAGTATATGCACATTGGACTTAGTATAATCATAATTACAACATGATAAATAAATGACATAAATAAACAGCGCACGTACATACACTCACACACACTCAGACAAACAAATACACACACACACACATAAATAACATAGCCACTAACACAAACAAGTATTCTCATTAAACAAACCAACAATTAACATTTTAGAGACAACAATACACTTGAGCATTTGACCAGATACGCAACAGCTCTTGCGATTTAAGGAATGTTTTCATGTTGAATTTCTTATTGTCAATTTGAACTTCATCTGTCATCATTTAGGATATGTATTTATAAAACAAATTATACACTATTTACTAATTTGAGTTATACAGCGTTAACATTAACATAAGGAGAGGAGGTGCTTACTTGATAAAAATATTGAAAATTTTCTAATTGATTTTCATCAAAACAAAATCTCATGTCTTGTATTGTATTATTTGTGCATATGTGTAAATTTTAACACTCTTTTTCGCCTTTTCTCTCCCTCTCTCTCTCTATCTCCCTCTCTCTTTCTATCTCCCTCTCTTTCTTTCTTTTTTCTTTCTTTTTATTTTTCTGTTTTTCTTTGATGAATTAGTGTATCTATGTATAATTATAATGCTTAACTTAGTTAACTTTCGTAACTTTGAAGCGATTCAATTTAATTGATTAATCGCACTTTAATATTTAGCATTTGCTCTGTTTTCTGTTCATATTGTTAATATGTTAATAAATATATTTTTTCAAATCAAAATTAAAAATTAAAATGTCGTTTCAACTTGATAATATTAAAAAGTAATTAAAATTAAGTAACTCGTCCATTCACTCGTTCCACCGTTCGTTTGTTCATTCGTTCGTTCATTCATTCATTCATTCATTCATTCATTCATTCATTCATTCATTCATTCATTCATTCATTCATTCATTCATTCATTCATTCATTCATTCACTCATTCATTCATTCATTCATTCACTCACTCATTTTTTAATTCATTCATTCATCTATCCATTCATTCAGAACCCCATTGAGCAATAGGAATGTTACGTCTTAGAACGCACAGGCACGCACACAAATGACTTATGTAATCAACAAACAAATCATAACCACATATCTTTTTGAGTATTGAGAGATATGTAGACAAAACCAAACAACACAATAAAATAATATAATAGCTATGAATCTAGAATCTTATGTAAATAAATATCATAAAGGGTTATGATCTATTTGGGTCAGTGTGTATTTGAACACAGTATGAAAGTTAATTTCAAGCAATTTTCCAAATAATTTTTGATGTAATAAGTATTAAGTTGAGCCAATTTTATAAGCTGTCTTTGTGTTCTATTCTGTGTATAATAAGTATTAAGTTGAGCCAATTTTATGAG